GATGTCAACCTCTTCTGGAACGAAGTCATCTTGAATTTGATCACTTCGAATGTTCTCCTCGGCAAGTTTCAATGCATCCACATCCTGCCGTGTAGGGATGTACTGCTCGTAGCCGAACACATTGCGAATCTGGTTTCGTGCTACACGCAAGGTCTGACTCCCACTTTGCACCCAGTAGTTGCGACCATCAGGATCTCGTCCGAGAAATCTGGCTATTCTGTATCCGCCCCGTTTGCGATGTGAGCGAACAGTCCATCTCCAATATGCCAGAAGTGATCCCGGAGTAGGCTCATAGTCGTCAACTTCATTGGTCTTCCTCAACAAGGCTCTCCTCAAAGTAGAAGACGCTGACGCTTCTGCCAGGGTCTTCAAAGCTTCTGCTCTCATCAAAGCTGCTTGTTGTTGTGTCTCAGTGGAACCTGAAATCAATGCTCTTGGATCACTCAAAAGATCAGTGCCAAAGCGAGGGATCCTCCCGAAGGCAGCTATATATGGAGGCCTTCCTGAAGACCAAGTAGCCGAGTTCTTGGCCTGAGTGGCAGCAATCAATGCGTTGTCTATGTCCTCTCCACATGTGCAGGGTGTAGAGTCCACAATTCTTTCCAAAAGCATTCTCAAGGTGCCGTTGTGTCGTTCTATTGTCCCCAGCTGGTGATGTGCTTCTGGGGCAATCACATTGAGGTGTGTACCACCTTCTGTCATCCTGTCGTCAAACTCAGCTTTAAAGGCTCCGTCATCATCCACTGATAGCCGCATTGGAAATCCGAAGTGCTGCAGCCAGGCTGTCCTGAAAGATTCGTAGACATCTCTGGGTCTCCTGGATGGCAGTCGAATGGCTGTGTGGAGATGGGTAGCTTCACAGATGATGCCGAGAATTGAGTAATTTTCGGTGGTCATGTCGCGGAGGTAAAAGATGTCAGCCTGAACGTTATCAGCGAATTGTCCCAGGTATTGTGGTGTCGAAGTTGCAGGATTGGGCCAATGAAGTCCTTTTGCTCGCTGACATGCTGAACATCTCATGGCCTTGATGCATTTGATCACCTGGTCACTTGTAATGCCATTGAGCGCCAACAGCTTGATCATCTCATTTGGTGGCAGGTGACCCATGTTCTTGTGCATTCGGGAGGTTGCCATTTTGATGGACTTGTCAACGCCACTGGTGTTTGGAAAGGTGATCTCTTCATGAAAGATCTCTCTGGTTGGATTGGGCTCTGCAAATTCCTCCTCCATCTGCCTCTGTTCTGCTTCTTCTCCAGGGATGCCGATGTTCTCATCGATCATGTCCGGGTAGCCGTAGAAGAAGAGAGCAAGCTCAACAGGTCTTCGAAAACGGCTCCTTGGAAAATGAACATCGCTGAGGTCCTCGGTTTGGACTTCTGCATCCTCTTTTCCGACATATTGCAAAACAGACCCTCGATGAGTGTGAGGAACAAATGAAGGATGTCGATGAACCAATGGCTGTTTGGCAACCTGCACCCTTGTCAGATGCCATGGAATCAACTGCTGGACCTGCTTGTAGATCTGGTCCCAGGACGTAGTTCTTGGTGGCAGTCTGTTCCATGAGAGTGAATGCGTTTTGCATCAAGGTGTTCCACTGTTGTTGATTTCCTTGTGGAAGACTATAGTTCGCCAACACTTTCTTTGGAAGGAATCGAGCTGGATTCATTTGTCTAGCGACATACTTGATGCCTTTAAGTATTGATGCGACCAACCCGTCAGGGTAATGCTGAGACAAGGTGACTTCTTTTCCTTGTAGAGGAATGCACTGGGCAAGTTCCTCTGCGTTGAGCTTTTCGCTGAGGTAGTACAAAATGTCCTTGTTGTTGGAGGCAAACTTGAAGGTCTTCTTGATCTTCTGACCCTTGGAGTTCGTGGCGCCATAGGCACCGGAATGACATGTCGTGACCATACCATTGGTCTCCTGCAGCATTGCCACAACTGAGGGTTCTTCCCACAGACGGCTGTTGTTGGGGTTCTCGATCAAGTAGAATCTGCCTTCACTATGTTGTCGCTTGCACCAGTCCATGGTCTTTTCAACTATCGGTCTCTCTTCTTCACGAAGTTGTTCAAGAAGTTCTGGTCTTGTGTTATAGTTCATATTCTCCTGCATCACAAGCCGGGGTGTGCGATGTATGCTGGCGAGCAGAAAGAGAGGCCGAAGCGTCTGCAACATCCGGTCACAGGCTACTTGCGAATCAGGTTGAGAAAGGTCATAGCCGGTGTTATAGTCAATCGGTGTGGTAGCTGTCAAGCCATAGCGCACTGCAGTCTTGGAGACTGTGCCACTCCCGGCGAAGATCTCCATGATATCAATCTTGGAATGAGTTGCGCGATGCTTTGTAGCTAAGGCTTCATAGGTCTTTTGTTCTGTCTGGGCAGCATGGATGGCTTTCTTGATCCTGCCCAGGATGAACTTCTTGTGCCCCTTGTAGTTGCTCTCAAGCTCTTCCTGATTCAATCTACCGGCCACTCGTAGAGATCTGCCTGGCTCATCGTCTCCACAGACTCCATGTCTGTCATGTCGAAGGTCTCTGCGGTGGCTGGAATGGCGTCCTTGAGTCCTCACCGCACTTTCCATGGCGGCTCTGACCTGATTCTCGTGGTCGTCCATATCCCGACCATACTGGAGGAGTTCGTCCGCCACTTGATTGTGCAATTCCAGGAGCCAAGTCGGTGGTGGAGGATTCATATTGGCGATTGAAGGCGTCGCTGAAGAGCTCGGGGAGGACTTCGGTTTCGGGAGTGCCTTCTGTGAAGCTCCTGGTGGTGGTCCCGACATAGGCTTGCTCCTGGGCTTCTGTGGATAGGTATTTGAAGACGATGGAAGCGGCAAAGAAGATTTTGCCGAAGATGCCCGTCCAAGAGGATACCATGTTTCTTCTTCCGGTGACCACTTCATCCTCGTGTGGCATAGAGTGCACTTTGCGAAGCGACCGTGGGCATTGCCGTACCTGGTCCACTGAGGGTGCGAGCATTGACCCACGTCCTTCAGCGGCTTGGTCACGGCTTGAGCCACAGCTTTCTCCATCTCTTCCTGTTGCACCTTGTCCTGGAGAGTCAGCCAGGATCTTGGTGCCAGGCCAAATCGAATTGCTCTTGACATCGCACGGAGTGCCAGCATCTCGAGGCGGAGGATCATGTGCAGAACCCGACGCCAGTTCACAAGCCATGATGGTGGTGTCTGACGAAGCATCCTGGACGGTGAACACTCCTGATGTATCTTCGGGCATCAAGCGCTGCTGGTCAAGAATGCCTTCAGCGATGATCTCCGGATGAGGACACGTCCAAATGTGAGGACTGCTCAAAAACTTCCAAATATCATGCTGAGATGCACAAATCTCAAAATCACAAATTGGAACTGCTAGATGTCCGTTGACCTTGTGAATGGCCACTGTGACTCCGAGATTCTGAAACAAAACAAGTTGCTTGCCCAGATCAACTATTGCTCCAACAGTTTCCAAAAACGTGTTTGATGCCAAAAGTGGAATGCCTGTCTCAACAATGCTTGCACCCAACAAACAGTAAACTCCGCCAACACTTGACGGCAGGTAGGCTCGGGCCTTGGCTCGAATCGGAGCCGCGGCCAAACTGGAAAGCCTCGGACACATCGACGAGTCGTGGTCGAAGTCGATGTTGGGCGAGGATCTTTGTGTGCTCATCTAACCAGGTTGCACCACAACACATACGCTGGCATGCTGTGTCGAGAACCATGTAACCACAAAGGCTGGTTGAATCCATGTACAAAACCTGGTTGGTAGAAGAGTCGGATGGGAGCATGTTGATCATGAAGCTGAAATAGTTGGGAACCTCGGGAACTTCATCTGGTAGTTGATGGGGTTCAGAACCTTGATCCGTGATGGTGGTGAAGAGAACCTTTTTGGTCTTACCATCGAACTGCTGCTTGTCTTTTCCTTTGCCGTTGGCTTTGCCAGAGGACTTGGAAGTCGACTTTGCGCATTCTGCGTCACCGGCCCAGTGGCCGATCTGTCCACACGCAGAACAGCTGCTTGTTCTCTTTCTTTCTTGGATCGTTCTGGATCCGGTGTACTTTCTTCCCAATGTAAGGGATTGTAGCTTCTTGGCTGTGACAGTCAGGGCGTCGACAACAGCGGAGAGATCTGTTTCCTCATCAGCGTCGTCGTACGCAGCTTCATCCTCTTCGGGAGGCTGCTCATCGTCTTGCCAGTCTTCTGCGTCGTGAAACTCTGTATTGCCATCTTCTTCGTCGTCATTCTCCTCTGGAACTGCTTCCAACTCAACTTGCTCTGTGGCAAATGCTTGTCTGGACTGAAACTTGTTCTTGCCCTTTCCTTTCCCCTTAAAGGAAGAAGAGGACGTAGCGGTGGTGGAGCTCAAGCTCGAGGAGTGACTGGAAGGAGCAATGTCTCTGCGATGCTGAAATGCTTTGATGGGCTGACCATCTTTCCCAAACAACTGTGGAGGCGGTTTGTGTTCTGGGAATGTCATGCACAGACTCTCAGCTATGGACTCGAAGGTGAGATTGAAGTTCGACCCGATCAAAACCAATCGACCGTTCTCCGGCGAAAGCCGGGCACGTTCGAGCAGTCTGTTGCCCATTGCTTCACTGTCATACATGCCACTTGGGTTGATGCCGATGCTCTGCAGGGATCGCTCTGCCCTTCGGTATCTGTTCACAAAGGCACGCATGGACTCTGAAGGCTGCCGAACTATTGTTTCAAACTCGCTCATGAGCTTCCTTTTCTGGTAAATTAGCTTGGTCTCAAGACCTTGGCGAAGCAGGCTCTCAATGTAGTCGATGCCGTCTGAACGATGCAGGCGATCAAGATCGATGTGCTCCAGCTCTTCTTCCGGTTCACCCGAAAGGCTCGTATACAACATCAATGCTGCATCTTGTAGGGGCATATATGCTTGGATCTGTTTCTTCCAAACTGCCAGCTTCTTCTGCCACTTCGGAAACGACCGGATGTCATCACGAGAGTACTTCCATGTAGGAGGGTTTGGAGGAGTCCCCCCCTCTGAAGCGCACTCCCTTCTCTGGTCCTTTCCTACTGTTCCATGAGTCTTGTGACGAGTTGCTCTTCTCGTTCGACATGGACTTCTTGAGCATGGTGACGATCTTGTCCAAGTTCTGCTTGATGTCAGCGTCGGATTCATCAGCCTGAACTTGTTGCTGTTCTTGCGAAGCATTGCTTTTGCGGTGTCGTCTTCGTTGGCGTCTGGTTTGAGATCCGTCCGGATCGACAATGGGATCGTGTGTCGGAGTCTCGGATTCGGCGAGCTCACGATCTTCTCCGAAGTCGTGTCCGGAGGTATTCGGTGGGGATCCAAAAGGGGGGTGCTGCAAGCTTGCTGTCAGGTGTGTCCCAAGAGGTCTGTCGAGGCATGTAAAGCCAAACGCCTTCTCTGGTCTCACGCCGCTCTGACTGCCTAGTATTGTAAAACTCAACACTGCCACAACTTGCACAAACCCAATGATCCGACCACTCAAACTCAGCATGACCACATGTCCAACATCTCCAATGAGCTTCATGGGAGGAAGACGAATCTGCGAGCGGAGTGGTGGTAGCGTCAAGGGCCTCATAGTCCCAGGGAACGTCGTCATCGGCAGACATGTCGAAAACAAACGGCAAATCCTGGATCGTAGGCATAGCTCCGCCTACCAACTGATACAGTCACGTGCCTGAGTGACCGCCCTCAAAACGCAAGGAACAAGGCACAGCAAATGCTCGGATGCATGGCCTTTTACGCAAAGGGAAACGGCTCTTGGTACCTGTACGGCAGCGGCGGAAGGGAACGACCTGACGAACCAAGGCATGCATGAGTGGATTTTCACAGTATCAACAGCAACCACCCCGCTTGGGCTGCTTGGGAAACGCCTCGACATCGGCCGACCACCGGACACCGCAACGCGTTTTTGGTCCAGCATCATTCGAAGGAGGACTATACCTCAGCACTGTTTCATCTCTGAAACGCGCACCCTGGTGAACATCTCAAGCACCCAAATGAAGTGTTTGGCTTTACAGGCTTTACTCTTGGACTTGGGAGTGTTGTAGAAAATGCCACCATGGCTGGTTGGACCCTGGGCCCCAAATCGAAGCGACCGATTTGGGCGCCCAAGTTTTACTCGGAGCCTCAATGTAGAAGATCATCTGCCAGCCTCTTCCGATTCCTCCGCTGGAACTTGGCCAGCCAGGGAGGTTCTTGGTCCAAGACGGAGGCCATCTGATGGCATCTCCGGGCAGGGTGGGATGAGCTGTGCTGAAAGCTTTCAGCCAAGCTGCTTCTGGATGCTGCAGAGGCCTCTTCCATGGTCAAAGACACAACAAACTCCTCAGAACAAATACGCATACATAATCACACGCACATCTCTCTCTCTCTCTATATGCACAAACTGATGTTCATTGTCAATGAAACTTGCAATGCCCCGCATCGGGGGATTCCACTGATTTCACAGAATCACATCGTCATTTCACAGCATCCCGGATACACCGGGCTCATTTCTCTTCTAGGACAAGCTTCCACCAAGCCAATAAAGACCAGCAAGGTATCGAACCAGTTGGCAAAGTCACGTAGAAAATTCCATTTGTCAAGGACCTCAACGCCAACGCTGTGTTGCACCAGGGGGGCTGCCATAGATCCGCATAAATGAATTGAGTAGAGCTACTCAAGAATGGCCCTTTCGACTTAGCCACAGAGTTCATGGATGGGGCCTTCGCCTTCAGTGACTTTCACATTTAGGGAGCTACATTGAATCAATGTGCAGGGTATCTTATCTTGCGTTTGCATGAATGAACAATATCTTATATATATATATATACATGTATATGTATGTACCCGGAACGCTGGAACGGTGCCTTCCAATCTTGGTAATTGGAAGGTGCTAAGCCGAGGCGCGATTCGGCAAATCCATTCGACCAGAAACACGAAGACAAACGCATTGTCCTCAGTCTGGATGAATCGCTCTCTTTGCCAATTCTGCTGGAACAGCTGGCGTGTCACAACATACATTGGAGTAGAAAAGTGTGCCCTATTGTTCTTTTTCACATCTGTTGCATGTTGACCTTTGTTACGCAATGAAGTTTGCAGTATATATCCTACTGATCCTGCTCCCTGTCAACGTGCACACGGCGTCGACGGGCAAGTGGTGGTGCCATTCACCAACCTTTCTTGAAGACTGGGCAGCGCAAAAGGATTGCCAAAACAGCTTGGAACTTTTGAGCCGCTTTCGAATCGCTTACCCAAAATTGCTGACCAGGAAAGGACACTTGTCAAATGCTCCCCTGACTGACTTTGCTGTGAACCATTTCAAAACAGGTATATAATTGCAACACTTGCAAACCAAGCAGAAAGTAGTGCAACACTTGCCTCTTTCAAGTGGAAATGACCTGTTACAACATGTTACTACCTCAAAGCACCGCATGACTCGCATTCACTTTGTGAAGCCCTCACCGAGTGGATCTGCGTACCAGGACCATTGGTGGAGCGGATGGAGTGGTAGGAGTGGTATCAATTGGTATCACCAGCAGGTGAATATGGAACTCTCAGAGAGTTTGCATGGTTTATGGGGTATCTCTCTTGCTCCTTCCAATGTGGGCACATACTTAGGGGTCCGTGGGCCAGCAAAGTACTATATGAATCTGATGTGAAGCTTTGCAGTCGTCCTAACTGCAGTCGTCTTCACGGAACAAGGCACCGAGAAGAATCAAACTGAAGACATACCGACCGAGGTGTGCCGGCAGGGCGAATCGGTCGTCGCAGTGTCACGGATCCGTTTCGGATCTTTCCACGGTGAAATCCAAGTGGCAACCACTCGTGCCACTTCCCTCAGCTGCCAACATGGCCCATTTTCCACTTTTTGGCTTGGGGAGCCCCTGATCAACACCACATCAGTTTTGGAATTGTTAGGAGAAACATGGAAAACCAAAGACCTATGCTGCCCACATGGGTTTGCCAATTCGCAGAAAGTTCATAAACCAGGACCCGGGCCAGCGTCGAAACAAGAAACGGTCTGCCAAAATGGGCATTTGGGTCCCCCTAAAATCATGGATAAGTTCGGAGGTGGGACGAAGGAGGGAAACCTTGCCTAAAGCCTTCAACCTGTCATGCTGCACATCATTGTCATTATCATTATTGTTCTTCATGGACTTGCTTGATGAACTGGAATTATCGGGAGATGCAACCAATTGCGCATAGACGATTGCGGTCAAGCTGCAAGAACTGTTGGAATTGTGGCACTTGTGCATCCTGATTCCGGCAATGCTGTGTGGATAAGACTGCGAAGTGCTTGAAACAACTGGGTCACAAAAGACTGCCCTATGGTTAGTCACATCTCCGAAAACTCAGGCCATAGCCAGTGCTACGCTCACCTGGTCCCCAAACTTTTTGAAGAAAAACGCTTGCCATGCCTGACTCCACTTTCTCATCTTATGATTATGATCCTCCTGGTCGCAGCCTTCGATTGCTCTATGTTGCGCATCGTTGCGGTTGATGCCCGACGCAGTCCTCTCCGCTTCCCACAATGGTTCCATTGATGCGCCCCTCCAACTCAAACTCCACCAGCATCACTGCACCTCTTTTCGAAAAGGGCCCGTAAAAGGACACCCGCGCGTGAGTTTATGGGGACCACCGTGTCACTGCCTGGATCCTCGTTTGGCAATGATTTCTGCTGCCAGCTTTCTCATAGAAAACTGCAGGTCCAGCCTGGATATTTTTTACTATTATACAGACGGCACACCCAAATGAACAAAGTCTTGGAAAAACAAATGCTTGCCATCTGACGCTTGTCCCTGGTCCAGAGTCCACAGTCCACAGTCCACTCAGCCCCCCCAAATGATTGAGAACCCTTGTCTGCCAGGCACCATTCAGCAGCACCAAAGTGGCAGCTGTGGCATCAACATAGCCCCTCAGTTTTTGGTTGAAGGCCTCGGCTCAACACATGCTCTGTAGCAACGCATGGCACGCCAGGTGCTCCGGGCTGTACCGGCAACGTGCCAAAAGCCTGAGCACCAGTCGTGGTCCAATTTCCCAAGTCCAGCCACCAGCCTAGCCGGATGGCCTCTGTAAGTCGAGATGCGTTTCTCTTTGATTTTTCCTCAGTTGATCCGTGCATCTGTGGGTTTTCTGGTAAGGTGAAGTCGAATATTCACGCTGCATTTGCCCAATCTTCCAAAAAATACGATTTCCTCGTCGGTGCGAATATGTGTGTTTCACTCCTTCACATCTTTCACATAAGCAAAGCGTCATCCTCCTTGAGAAAAGCTTTCATGGTGTTGGACGTCCTTAGATTTCCGGTTTGTGTGGCAAACCAAATTGGCAACAAAACAAAATCCCTCCACCAGAAATAAGCATCAAAACGTCCTTACGTACATGAAATGCATCATTTGGAGATAGCATGAACAATTTTCCATGTTTCATCATTTTTCACTCCTCCAGAAGTCCTCCACAACCTTGTGCTGGCATCCGTGAGTCCATAACTTGTGTTGCAATGAGCAATCGCCAAGGTTCAATAGCCTGGGGCTCGTGGGTGTGATCATCGTGGAAAGCTGGGCATCGCTCTCCTTTGCCTGGGAAAAGTCAAAGCAATCGACAAAATTTTGGGTCACTGGTCCTCTCGGTCCCTAGTGGAAAGCCTGCGGGCAACGGTTCTTACCCTCATCTTGCCACTGTTGGCTGTATGCATCCAATCCTTCTCTTGAAGATGAACCAAAGGAAACGAATTGACATCGAAACAAACCTCTTAAACAAGATTGAGTATACGTATGACAATTAATTTGCATAAAGTTACGTGTGTTGATGTGCAAAAACTGTAAACACAGTATTGCTAGGACATATGCAAAACTACACTTTTTCCCGTCCACTCAAAAGAGCAATCTTTCAACAGCCTTCTTCCGCCAAACTTTAAAGATCCGTTGATGCCAGCTTGCCCACCTTGAGCCAAAATGTCCCAACCAACAGCTCTTCTTCTTAGTTATGATCTAAAAACCTGAAACCTCTCTGATACAACCTTCGCACTCCGCACTTTCCTCTTTCATTGAGACATTTCCTCTTGTGCCTCTAGCAGGATATTTGCGGATGTCCCATGATGTCCTTCAAGGGAAGCACCAGGGCAGGTAGCTAACCCGTCCACTCAGGCTAGCACTTTTTCTGCCTTCTTCCTCCGCCTTCTGGCCCTAAAGCAAGCTCAAAGAAGCTCAAAAACACGGAATATGTCGCCAAGACGAGACATGGCGTACGGAGATTGTTGAGAAATGGCGTTGGCCCAATTGGATCCGAATATGGGTCAACCAAGCAATCAATGCGAAGAGTGCCATGCGCACCAACCAGGTCCGGACTGAAGGGCCATTCGAGCGGTCTTACCGATCAACGGAATTCAATTTAGCCGGCCGGGTGGCTCCCCAAAAGCGTGTTGGTGAGCGCCTAAGGACGGACATTCAGGGGTGCCAATTTAGTCCTGCCGCATGAGCGGCCAGTGACAAAAAGGCATGGTAGCTCGGTTTTTCCAATTCAAAGCAACATTTTGACGGGCCTTCTCCCACTCGACTTGTCCAAGCTTGACGGAGTTCGTTCAGCTCGCGCGATTTTCACAAGGGTGCTGCGCATCCCGCCACTGCTGCTTTTTGAGCAAATTCTCAAAGCACTATATTTATATATATATATATATTATTTTTGTAGTCTTAAAACATCTTTCGTGAAGTTAGAGGACAAGACTCTGAACCGAGTTGGCAGTAAGGTCGAAATTTTATGAAATATTCATTTAGGCTGAATTTAGGCTTCTTTTCCAAGCCGGGCAAGCCGCTCATTTCCAAGGTTGTGCTTCTCAAAGCCAAGTTGCTCCAAATTGCATCTATAAGGCCACTGAAGTGTGAGGTGTTTTGTTCCAAGGACACAACACGCGGTCCTTGCTTGCTTAGGCAGGGCGCAACCCGAGCCGTGACGATTTGGGGAGCCCGAGAAGCCTTTTTCCTTTTCCAAAGCCAAGACAGAGAACAAAGGGTTAGAAACTTTCAAAGTAGAACTGCACGAAGCAAATGGTGAAGCTTTGGAAAGCTCGAAGTCTCAGGTACCAAGACAGGCTCCCCAAAGAAGAGCCCCGCGAGTTTTAGCTTCAGGAGTACGATTACGTCCTGTTTCGGTCACGGGTCTGCCTTGAGACATGGCGCGCTAATAAGACTTTTGCCTCGGCCCGCTGCTAACACCCACATTGCAAGTGGACCTGGATCTGCCCTGCTTTAGTTTTAGCAACCACCTGGGTTCTAGTGGGGCTTTTAACCAAACGCATGTGTCGGGACCACTTGATACCATTGATGATCCAGTCCAAGGATGAGCACCAACAAGATCGGTCGTAGGTAGCCAGTGGGTTGTGAGTTCGAGATGCATATGGTCCAAGGCTTGGCCCCACCTTTGTGCGAGCATACCTGCTGAACCGTGTCAGCAAGATCCTCGCCCTCCAAGGAGCCTTTTCCACGTGCAAATTCTGTTTTTAATGGATATAAGTTATATGACGACTTTATATATATATATATATTCATACCTGCTACACAAGTATTTGCAACGTATAATGAGTGCAAGTTCAAGAAGGTCTCATGTTGAACAATGAACATTTGAGCAACATTATTCTAACACTGGTATCTTATTATTCAAGATGGTCACATAATTTAGTATATATATATATACAATAAAAGATTACTACCATCATGGCAGGCCTTGCACCCGACAATGATCAGTGGTCAAGACTTGCGACCTCACTTTTTTCCAATGATCCTTTGGGCTGAGAGAGCGTAGAAGCTCAGGGCAAGAAGAACACACTCCCACAATGCCCGAATGTATAGGCACCATGACCGAGTAGAGAATGGTCGCGCGGGCCTCCACCCATTGCCATGCGTCCGCCTAACTGCGGGCTCATGTGGCGCCGAAGGCAATCCCAAGGTCGGGCCACGCCGAGATTGGCACCGCCACAGGCGACATGCTGGGCCGCCGCCAGCTCCCAGTGCATGACGCTTTTTGGGAATCTAGCAATAGTATGCAATAGTAGCGAATAGTTTTGCCGTGGCACAGATTGACGTTGAACTTGGGATGCTGGCAGGTAGGGGAGAAATGTTGGCTTCCAAGTGGCCCAGACAAAACGAAAGTGCCCAGCACCCCCGAGCTGTAGAAGCTTGACAGGCGACTGCCGGCGGAATGGCAACAACCATTGCACTTGCCCCACCGCGCCAGGCAATGAACAGGTCAGTCAGTGAACGCCAACCAGGTCAGACTTGTGGGCGGATGCGGCCAGGACCATCCGAAGCACATGGGCTGGAGCCAAACAATTCTGCGCCATGCTTCAGTTGGCGCATCTCGGCACAGCAGTGATGTAGCCAGAACGCGCCGCCGCACCAAACACAAATCGATGGGAAACGGAAACCTTCACGCTTCCTGCGGCAACGGTCGCATTCTCGAACGAGGCATGGCATACAACGAATAGGGGGGAGCCCCTCGATGTACAGGACTGGGGCAGGTGGGTAGTAGTGGTCAATCTCCACCACCGAGGCCCTCCATGAGGTGCAAAAGGCGGGTGCAAACGTCCAGCCAGGCAGCTGTAAACAAAATTGGCATCTCAGCATATGCTGCCACATAGCGTCCAAAAATCATAGAGGTCTGGGGGGGGTCAACTCCTACCCACATCAAAGGTCAACCTCTTTCAAGGTCTGTTGATGCCAGTTCGGCTCACCTTGAGTCACAATGTCCCAACAAATGTATCTTCTTATTAGTTATGATGCGCAAACACCCACGCCTGCCATACCTGTGTATGACTAGTTCTTCTTCAAGCAAACAATGAACATTATCGGTTTTCAGGTGGACCTTATTGTGTTACAGTGTCGTGAGTCCGCCACATGCTTATGACCATAAACAGTATTTTAAAAAAATGCTGTATTTTGTACAATGACTTACAATCCTGCGGTGGACCTTATCGTTTTACTGGGTGTTTGTGCACAAACCTGCCCCTCTCTACTAAAGTTTAACAACGTGGTTTTCGCGTCTCCGCATGGTTTGACCGTGGCTCACATACATCTAGTGAATCTAGTGCCCTTGTTGATCAAAGCAGCTGTGCCAAAGAGGATCTCCATCGTGTCCTGGGACCAAATGGCCACACGTGTGCATGTCCAAGCTAATTATCTGTTCAAAGAAGCTGCATCAATAACCTCAAAGGCCACAGATCCTCAATGATCAACCACCTCAAATGTACGGTAGCGCAGCAGCGCCAGCACACTTGTAGGTCCTTGTGCAAGTCCTCCGTGCCAGTGGGGTCGATGACCTCCTGCGGCAAAGCATTAAAGATTAAAGCCAACCTAACCCGTTCTTTGCGGGATGCTAAGGACCACAAGCCACAGAATCACAACAGCCCAACAAATCCAATCACCATGTGTCTACCACAAAAAGTTGGTACTGTACATGTAATTACTGTAGGCTGAATCAATACGCGAAGCAATGACGCGCAAAACTGCTGCATATGATTCCAGCATCCAGGTGTTCTCCCACAACGACCTCTATCACTACCGGTGCCCTCCCCAATTGATTGAATCACAAACACCCCCAAATCAAAGAAGTCTTGTGTGACAATGTTCCAAGCAATTTCTCGTCACATTCACTGGCTCCCTCTCATTCCCTCTCTCTCTCTCCCCTTCCCTTCCCTTCCCTTCCCTTCCCTTCCCTTCCCTTCCCTTCC